GGAGTGTGTGTTCATAACAAATAGGAGAATCTATGAAAAATATCAAAAAAAATTTTACTTGAAAAATATTGACCAAAATACCCCTAAACTGTTTCGGGGGTATTTTGGTCAATTGTTTTCATGTAAAATATTTTTTTGATATTTTTCGTAGATTCTCCTATTTTCTATGAACACAAGTTCCAAATTTCAGGTAATTCCAATTTGTAAATAAAAATAAAAATGAAATACTACCGGACAATCGTGACCGTGAGATGAACTTTTGAGGGTGATGAGGGTAGTCGAAATCACTGTCCATTTTCTCCTATAGGATTTTTGTAGTATTTTCGAGGGTATTTTGATCAATTTATATTTTAAAAATTATTGTTTTCATATTTTTTTTAGGTGCGCTTCACTAAGATGTACACACGTTTCAAATTTTAGGTAAATTGGATTTGTAGGAAAAAAAAGGAAAATTAAAACACTACCGGACAACTGTGACCGTACGATGAAGTTTTGATGGTGATGAGAATAGGTGAAATCACTATTCATTTTCGCCTATAGGCGTTGGGAAGAGTTTTATTTTATATATCAACGGTTGTATCATAGTATAATGCAATTACACTTCTAGATATGGTCAAAACGAGTCTTTTCCAAAAACGAATCTAGACCATTCATTTTGTGAATTTCAAGATCTTAGCCTTTATAAACTCAAAATCATTTTTTTATTTTTTAATATTGTTCATCTAATGATAATGAAGCCATCTAAATAAATTGGAAATGAAAAAATCCTTTTAAAACCTAGATCTAAGCATATCACAAAAATGAACGACCTATGTTAATTGGGCTAAAAAAATACTTTCTAGATTGTGTTTTCAACTTTTTTATTTTTTTTTGTGATTGATCATTAGAATGAAAAGATCGTATATTTCAAAATTTGGATCAAACAAATGGTCATAAGTTCTTACTTCTCTTCCTAGCTACAATGATCTCCTTTAGTTTTCTTGCTTTCATCCACTAGCTTTCTAGACCTTAGTGTTTATGTATTTATCGAGTAACCATTTGTTCGTTTCATTGTTTTGTTGTATCTCGAGGATAAATTATTTGCTGGAGACATTTTAATGTATGGGGGAATGATTTAAAGTAATATAACGCAACAACATTCAAAAATCATAGTAGTGCCATTTGTTTGTTCATTCTATTGAACAATCACAAAAAAATAAAAATTGAAAATGCGTCGAAGAAAGTGTTATTTTAGCCCAATCAACATAAGCCGTTCATTTTGTTAAGGTGCTTAGTTCTGAGCCTTGGAAGGATTTTTCTCTTTTGAAAATTTTTAGATACTTTTGTTATCATTAAAGAAAAAATGGTTTTGAGTTCGTTAAGACCTAGATCTTGAAATTCATAAAATGGACGGTCTAGATTTAACGTTGGATGTGACTCGTTTTAGCCATATCTATAATGCAAATTGAATTTTAGTTTTTTGAAAATTGAATATTGGGATGAAGAGAGGGTATGTGCATATTTTGAGGTGATAAAAATGTTACAAATATAGTTTTCTTCAAGTATGGTTCTATTATATTACTATACAACTGTTGCATAAAATGATTTCCCAAATGTATATTAAGATTTATTAGAAGGTACCATTTTAATAGGCCTTGAAATAAAAGGGATCATTTCTCTTATGTAAACAAATCGTTTCTTTGCTGTTTGGGGTGACAATGTGCTCTTTAAAAGTTACATGGTTCACACAGATAATCCCCCCAGATAATCCCCCCCCCCAATTGGTGCTTTACCTGAATGATAACTCCTTGAATGGAGTTTCACACTAAACGGCATTCAGATATGAAGGGCAGATAAGGAGAAGTATATAACTACTAGAGTAAATTACAAGTGATTCATATATGAAGTCTAGATAATGTCATGATCGTTAGATCGACTCAATTTCAATCTAAATCGTTGGACTCATATGTAGATGTTATCTATGAGCTAAACCTCAACGTTTCTCATAAATAAATGAAGTTTCCCAAAAGAAATACACGGTGAAATACGCTCTTAGTTAACATTATGCTTTCTTTAGAATGTAAGAAATAATGGGTCTGCCCTGCTTTTAGCCAGCTGTTTTTTTTCTTTGCTTTTCTTTTTCCTACTTACAATGCTCAATTATTGCAAGAGAGTGGCAGGGAAATGAAATAAGGGAGGCACTGCCCTACTTTTTCCAATCAATAGTGCTCGAGTATTACTCCCATGAGTACCGTAGAATCAGGTGAATATATATAGTACCGGCCGAGTATTACACCCAAGTTGGTGCATAAGAACTCAGCCAGGCTACGAGCCAAGGCTAAGTAACTCGGCCGAGTCTAGGTCTCCTCGCCTGAGTTTTCCAACACTGCTTCTAACAAACCCCTTCTTTTGTAGGAACCACACATATTAAACCCCATTTGAAAAAGTATAGGTGGAGATACTTGAACATTCTTTCATGGAATGTTTTATTTAGGCTATCGTAAAAAAATTGATGAACACAAGAAAAAAAACAAATCTATTATTGTTTAATTTTAGAGAGTGTCTACAAATATACCATTTATTTTTTGTACAAAGAGGTCATGATCATTTTTATCCCTTATAATTTCGAAACGGGTGATTGTAAAAGAATTATTGATTAAACATAAAGTTAAAAAAAAAAATTCTTTTCTCAAACTTGATAACTCACTTCAAACCGTCTAATTTGATATCCAATGAGTCAAATTTGATATCCAATGAGTCAGAATAGTTGTGACTCCTTGTACAAAAAGAGTCAATCCCTTACTTCTACTGTCTAAGCTCTTATTAATAAGATATACATAACATAACTCTTTATCCTTTCAAAATTCTGTGAATGGCTGAGGCCAATGAAGCATATGAGGAGCCCCCCTCTTCCAACACCTTTGTGGATGCCTCCTTCAACTCCTTCACACGCTTTCTGACTATTTTACCCTCGTCTCCTTCCATCAATCTCCTCGCCACTCTCTCTAACTCCTCCGCCTTCACCCACCCGTCCTCCTCCATTTTCAGCTCCAGAGCCACCCCAACCTCCCTCACCAGCTCCAAAGCATTCAGCCTCTGCTCAGCGTACAGTGGCCACGCAACCATTGGCACTCCGAACCACACGCTCTCGAGAGTCGAGTTCCACCCGCAATGCGACACAAAAGCCCCCACTGCTGGGTGCGCGAGCACTGCTGCCTGTGGTGCCCATTTGGGCCACACCATCCCCAAGTCATGTGTCCTCTCCAGGAACCCTTCTGGTAGAAGGTCCCTTAATTCAGCGTCTTTGGTGTCAAACAACTGGTCCATGGAGGTGGGGCCACGCAGAGACCATAGGAAGCGGTGGCCACTTTGCTCGAGACCGAGTGCCACCTGTTTGGTCTGGCGATTCGAGAGGGTGCCCAGGCTGCCGAAGCACAAGAACACGACCGAGTCCTGGGGTTGTTTGTCAAGCCATTGCAAGCACTTGTGGTGCTCACCAGCGGAAGTCTGATACTCGTCCAGGTTGAGGAGGGGGCCGACAGGGTAGACTGGCGGTGAAGGGTGGTCGGACAGGCAGATCCCCTTGTGTAGAGCGTCTAGAGACCGAGTCTCAAGGTCTAGGAAGGTGTTGATGAGAATGCCCTTGGCCTGGTGGAAGCGACGCGAGTTGTACAGAAACCACTTGTAGGCGTCGTTGGTCTTGTCCGACAGGACCAAGGGCAAATCGATCGGGGGCACCGGTGGCAAGCCGGGAACTATGATCGGCTCCTTACAATCCTTGAATTCACATGGAATTTGATCATGAAGTGTTGGTAGGTGAAGCATGAGTGCGAGGGAGTTGGCACTGGAGGTGAAGAAGATATAGGCCGGCACCCCAGACTCCATTGCTGCATCGAGTAGAGCAGTGCAGAAGAAGTCTATGATAAAGGCACAAACCGGTGGTGAAGTTGAGGAGAGGGATTTTAGGGTTTCAGTGACGATGGGCTTGTGGGCGGCCGCAAAGAGGCTAAAGAGGGTCTGGGGCCTCATGTCGGGGGCCGGAGAGAAATCGACACGGGGCAATTGGAGGAAGCGGAGGCGATTCAAAGGAAAGGAGGAGGAGGAGGTGCGTTCGATGTAGGGGGCGGTGGAGGAGGGGTTGAAGGGGTGGTCATGGGGGGTGAGGATTGTTATGGAGAGGAGAGAGCGGTGGCCGAGAAGGAGCTTGGCAAGCTCCACTGTAGGCACCAAGTGGCCGACGAGGGGGAGGGGGAAGACCACCACCTGAACCTTTGCTGCCTCATCCATGTCTCTCTTGCCTCTCCTCTCGCTCTATTTCTCTATCATTCTAGGTAAACTCAGTAACGTAGAATATTCGGTGTTGGTGTCATAAATTGACATGTTATTATGTCAATCAAGTCAAAAAAGTACTGCCAAAATCTGTTGGAATATTTTCTTGATTTTGTAAATTACATAAGAATTGAAAAAAGCGAAGGAATCATTAAATTAAGAGAGACGGAAGTTGGAAACAAAGAGGTCGGGCAACCTTTTTTAAGCTTCCCCATAAGTTCTATCTTTTCCTTTATCCAACCGTAATGGAAGGTTAAGATTGTCTTAATCATAATATCATTTCTCTATACTATTTCATTTTTCTTTTATTTATAAATTATTTTGACATCAATTTTTAGATGTCTATTCCTCTATTAAACTCGTACTAGCAAAAAAATATAAAAAAGTATTTTTAATAAAATAAATGACTAAAATACCCCCAAAAAGTTTCAAGGGGTATTTTGACCGTTATATTTTATCGAAACATTATTTTTAATATTTTTTATAGGTGCGTCCCAATGAGAAGATAGTACATACCAAATTTCATATTCATAAAATTTGTATAAAAAAAACTAAAAAAAAAATATTTTGAGACGTCGGATCTAAGATCAAACAGTAAGTAGCTCTCTTAATCAAAATTGGACGGCTGGATGGTAAAAGGCGGATAGAACTTCTATGTTGTAGGGGAAGCATAGAAACCTTTCCCCTTTAATTTATGTGTTTTATAACTTTTATTACTAACCTACTCTACTACCTTAGATTTCTCTATCATTTGTAGAGGTGGCAATAGATCCGGACCCAGCTTAGGACCCACCGGGTAATACCCGACATGGGTCCGGGTATGGATCCAACATTTGGACCCAGTGGGGTGGGTCCAGGTCTAAAACTTGGACCCGAATACTATGTGTGTGTTGGGTTCAGATCTGGTTGGACCCGACTCACACCAGTAAAATGTTGGAGATAACATACTTGAAGTCCTATTTGTTTACATATATTACGGATCGTATGAAATAAAAACTCACCTTGTTAATAATATTATGAGTATATGATGGTAAAAAGAAAAAGCTCATATTTGAGGGTGGTAATAGACCAACCAGACCTAGAACCCAACGGGATAGACCTGAGACCCAATGAATATGGGTATGGGTCCAACTTTTGGATCTGACGGTCCGATCCAGGTCCAAAACATAAACCTGAATGCTATTTGGGTATGGGTCCGGGTCCAGCCGGGCCACCTGACCCGTTGCCACCTGTAACAATCTTAAATTTTCAAAAAAAAAAAACAAAAAAAAAAGAAAAGAAAAGAAACTTTTAATACATGATGATTCGTTTGAACATGATGATCCTTAGGGACCATCGCTATTTTTCAAAGCTTTTCAGTTTAAAAGCTTTGTTGCTTCCTTTCTCTTGCCACGTCCTCTAAAGGACGTGGGTTTTAGGCGTTTAAAGCGTAAGCTAACGCTCACACCTGTAACAAAATAAAAAAATAAAATAATATGTTAGTAGAAAACGCTCACACCTGTAACAAAATAAAAAAATAAAATAATATGTTAGTAGAAATTAAATTCAGAGAGGTGAGGACTCCTACCCTAGAAAACTTCTGAGATTTTTCTCTCTCTAGTCGAAACACAGTGAACTTTTCTCTTTAACCAAATTTTTATCGGAAGCTCTCTCTCAAATATTTTATGTGTAAATGACATCGTCTTCCTAAAAAATAGTCTGTTTTTAATAAATAGTGATATTTCCGTCCAGGATCTTTATTTTATAAGTTTTGTGTGTAAGTGATTTCATTATCTTGAAAAATAATCCGTTCTTTTTAAAAATGAAATGAAATAATTATTTCTGCTTATTATCATGAATTTTAAGCACGATAAATTTTATGTGCAAATGACCTCATTATTTTAAAAAATAATCTGTT